CTTGCATTTCTGATTCCTTCAAGTGTCATCAACTCACATAGTTGTGTATTTCCTTTAGCTACCATGCACTCTTCATTCCCATTTGAGCCAGGAAGGAGTGAGAACAGCAAAAAAATTGAAGGGGGTATAGGAAAAGGCAAAGACAAAAATAAGGTATGAGAGAGATATTGGGGAAACAGATCTCTTTCACTCTTCCTTCTCCCTCCCTATAATTCTCAGCAGACAGAACTTATAAAAATAAATAATAAACAGTTCATTAAATTTTATGCCACCCAACTCCCAGAAACTTCAGATGAATTACATAATTCAGAGGGACCTAAGTTGTTTATACATTAATAACTGCCTTCAGTTTTAATATTTTTTTTTGAAAAAAACCTATTCCACATTATATTGTACCAAAGATATCTTTTCTCTTCCACTGTATAAAAGTTTTCCATTTTCGGAGCAGTCTTGACAAATGACTGTCTTGTGAATGAAAGAGAAAGAATGCTAACTTTATCTCCTGTTTCCACAGTGCCTTTTAGATAACCCTTTTTGTTTCATGTTCAGAGCTTGCTGTCTACACACGCCTCAGAGTCTCAGCTGAACAATACCTCAGACTTTTAGCTGACATTTCAACCTGAGCCCATGTCAAACACACGCAGGGAGAAAGCCTTGATGTATTAAGAAGTTTCAGCATATTAGCATTATTTCAAAACACTTCAAGCACTAAAGAGGAACAGGCTTCTAGCAAAGTATTTGGGTGTGTGGAGATTTTTAAACCTACAAGTACAAACATTAAATTCAGAAATAATGAATCAAATTAATGACTGGAATGTGCCAGTAATAAATTTAGCTACAATGCAGTCTTTTGCTCTAGAAGTCATAGATGCACAGCATACCTTTACAAGGTCTAAAAAGGATGTTCACAAACACTAGACAAATGCATTTTATGTATTTTAAGTTGCATTATGTATTTTTTTTTAAAGAAACTAGAATGTATACAGAGAGACGGGCAATTGGATTATTATTTAAAATTTTATGAGCTGTTTTCTTTTTGAAATTATCCCCCAATGTCTATAGTAAACATAAAAACCACAAAAGATTTGCACAATATCAACACAATGAATATGAAAGAAAATTTGTGTTGACAGCTTCCCTCCCTCCCATCTTTGTTTTTCTTCCAGGCAGATGCTTATAACGACTTGCTTATAATCCTGGGTGCCACAGAAGAAAACTGGAATGCAATGAGACTAACCAATTACTTTTTTTTTTTACTAACCATTTACAACCCAGCAGCAATAGGGAATTGATGGCTTCCATCTATTTAATGGGTTCAAGTAGACATTTGTTGGGCATGTTTTTGTTTAGTTGGTTGGACTCAATGACCTCAATGGACCTTTCCAAATTCACAATTCAATCATGGAAGGCAACCCAGGAATAGATCCATAAATAAAGCCAACCAAAGTCATTTTGCAAAGTGATGGTAGCATATAAATTTAATAATTAAATAGATCATGCTACATTATTTTCCATTAAGATAGATACACACATACACACACCTATATATATTATACCCTCACTTTCAATTGATTAAAGGAAGCTATCCTACATGGGTCAGGTCCTTTGTTTGTTAATTTATTTATTTATTTATTTGCTTTTATTTATTTATTTTTGTCAATTGCTTACAAGATAATAGGTATAAGTAAAAACATAGTTATGAATACATGGATACATATAAGAAAAATAAAAAAAATAAAAGAAACAAAAGGACAGGGACGGTAGGCACGTTGGTGCGCTTATGCACGCCCCCTACAGACCTTTTAGGAAAGGGGTGAGGTCAATAGCAGACAGTCTAAGGTTAAAGTTTTGGGGGATTGGGGGAGAAACCACAGAGTCAGGTAGAGTATTCCAGACATTGACCACTCTGTTCCTGAAGTCGTATTTCCTGCAATCAAGTTTGTTGCGGTTAACCCTGAGTTTGTATCTATTGTGTGCTCTTGTGTTGTTATGGTTGAAGCTGAAGTATTCATTGACAGGTAAGTCATTGCAATGTATGATTTTATATACCACACTTAGATCACACTGAAGATGGCGTAATTCAAGGTTTTCTAGGTCTAGAATTTCGAGTCTGGTGGCATAAGGTATTCTACAATAAGTAAAGGAGTGGAGAACTCTTCTTGTGAAATATTTCTGGACTTTCTCAACTGTGTTAATATCAGATATGTAATGTGGTTTCCAGACTGATGAGCTGTATTTGAGTATTGGTCTAGCAAATGTTTTGTATGCTTTAGTTATTAGTGTAATATTACCAGAGAAAAAGCTACATAAGATTAGGTTAACAACTCTTAATGCCTTTTTGGCTATATAGTTACAGTGGGCTCTAGCACTTAGGTTATTAGAGATGAGTACTCCAAGATCCTTGACAGAGTTTGGATCATCATCAAGGTCTTGACTATTCAGCCTGTATTTTATTTTCTGATTATTATTTTTTTTGCCAATATGTAGGACAGAGCATTTATTTGTTGAGATTTGAAGTTGCCATTTGTTTGACCATTCTGATACATAGTCAAGATCTTTTTGAAGGGTAGCAGTATTGTCTGTGGTATTGAACAGCTGTACATCATCAGCGAAGAGAACGCAGTTGCTCTTAATATGATCAGAGGTCATTTATACAGAGAATGAAAAGAGTTGGTCCTAGAACACTGCCTTGAGGGGCACCACCGTTGACAGGTACAGAATTTGATAGGACGCTCCCAATTTTGACCATTTGTTGTCTGTTTGACAGGAATGCTAATTCCTATCAAATGAGTATCTGACAATATGTTTGATTATTCCTAGAACCAAGCATATAGTTCATATTAAAAATATTGTTACATAAATTAAGTATTTCACCCATTATTTCGAATGAATGAAATTTGGAGAAATGGAGGGAAGCAAGGAGGGTAGAAGGCTGGGAGGGAGGTTTCGTATGCTCACTGCCACCTTTCCACAAAAAAAGTTCAATGGAGAAGCCACCAGGACCTACTCCCAGTGATATTTTGCCCACCCATGGGTACTCTGTTTTTCTGATTAGGTAAGGAAATATATATAAAATGATGATCCAATGGATCACAGATTGTCTAGTGTTCAATAAAAGTATAATTCTGGATGACTGCACCTTGGGGTTCCCTACAGCAACATTCTTAGAAAAAAAATGGTTATGTAATTTTTAATATGTAAGGCATCATTTTCAGTTACAAGAAATTTGTTACTTTTCAAAACTCTTTGAAAATGATTAATAAGACTATCTCTGTCATTTGCCACCAGTATCAAGATACCTTGTCTATTTCCCATGGATATGCTCTATTGTTTTGTTTTGTTTTAAAAAAACATATTTAATAAATGTTAATTCCACAAATCCACCTAACTCATTACTAACCTCATCTTATGCTAGCCACCATCATTATATCTTTTCACTAACAGAAGAACATATGCACTATGTAAAATAATTTTTCCTTGATCTTTCTTTTTTTAACTGAAATTTAACTTGTTCCTTCAGCCATTGAATTATTGTCTTCTGTTTCTTGGTGAATAAAATGAGATATTACAGCCAGTTGTCTGAGAACCATTTACTTGTATAGGTGATGGATTAGATGATGGATTCTAACAGACAACATTGATTGGAAATGTATGGAAAGGCCACCAGCTCTACTGAAAGCTGCTGATTTTCTCATTGAAATTCATATTGTTTTACTAGAGAATAATTTGATTTTTCACTGAGTCATATCATTGAAATGTGATGTCAGGTCTAGCCCTAGATATGCTTTCTAATAGCTCTGATGGCCATGCTTGCTTATTAATTTTTATGATTTATTTACTGTCTATTTGCAGAACTGCTGAGGCTCTTTAAGTGCCCTGTAAATGGCTGGCTTCCACTCAGCTCTCAAGTGAACTGAGCTGTACCACAAAACCTTAGGTTACAAAAAGAATCTAGCACTATGCTTTGTCTTGGCACGCTCAGTTCTTCTATGCCAGCTACAGCCAATAATGATTTGGAAATATGATCAAAAGAAAACGAAAACCCAAGTCCAGAGAAAGAGGACTCTCCTGCTGAAAGTTACAAAGTCTAGGGTTGCCATTAAGTTAGGGCTAACTGTTATTTTCTTCACAGCTTTCTAAGTTATTTAACATACAATTTACCCATGTTGCTTTTTGCTAATACCACTCAAGCAACTACAAACTGTTTCATTTTGGAAACATGCCTTACAATTATCCACATACCAGGTATCAAAGTTGCCCAGCATAGATACTAACATATTGCAATGTTAACATCTGTTTAATTTTTTATATTAACTCTGTAGTGGATAAGGTCAGGGGTGGGAAACGACAGCGTTAACTACCAGTTCGGGATTTACGAGCTTCCCTGCCCGCTGTAAGGCACGTGCCTGTTAATCATCATTAGCACGCTGCGTGCCGAGAAGCAGCCTTTGAAACAGCCCTCTTTTCTTGTTTTTTTAACTGCAGCTATGCCTCATTCGGCAGCTGAAGTTGAAAAACCAGGAAATAAAGATCAGGTAAGAGCCCGGGCGGGTGGGTGGGCAAAAATATCAGCAGACATAGAACCGGTTCTATGTCTGCTGTTCTTCAAAGCTACCAGTTCTACAGAGGTGGATAGAACCGGTAGAAACCCACCCCTGCATAAGGTGCTGCCTTGGAAATAAGCAGACTATATGTTCTAGTTCCACCTTAGGATAAAAGCCAGCTGAGTGACTTTTGACCCAATCACTGTCTTTCAATCCAACCCACCTGAAAAGGATTGTTGTGAGAAAAATAGGAGGAGGAAGGAATGTTAGTTATGTTCTCCACCGCGAGTTATTTACAAAGTAATAAAGGTGGGAGGAAAAAATATTTAATAAATAAATAAACTTTTGCAATGGGAAGTTCTTTTTAATACTTTTTGTTATGATACATGGTTATGGTTACAACTCCTGGCAGGAGTTTGAGTTTGTCAATTAATTAATCAATCAGTCCATACTTACAATTGATCTGATGAGTTTCTCCTTTGCCAGTTTCAAGGAGGTTTTATAGCAATTTGCCAGATCTTCTTTATGGATATCACTAATATGTCCTCGAGCTATAGGGCCCACAGTGTGAATAACATCTGCAAAGAATAACACAATCAACATCAAAACTTGAATAAAATCGTACAAAATGTCAAAGGAAAATTGGTAAATCAGCAGATGGACTCTGATCATGAGGATTTTTCCTGATTAACGACAATGTCCCTGACCCGGTGAGTCAGATGATGTAAGAGGTAGATATGAAGTAGGCAGAGGTGTCAAACTCACAGCCCATGGGTTGGATGCATCACATACTGGCCATGCCCACCCCTGGTTTAGCAAAGGGGGAAAAAGTTGTGATACATCACTTGATGACAACATGTCGTCCCAAGTTTGACATCCCTGTTCTAAAGCAATGATTACTTTACATTGTGAAGGAATCCTTTCCCCTTGGAGAACCAGGAAGTAATTGCTGCTTGGCTCATCTACAGAGACAAAGGAAGGCCCTTAGTGCTCAGCATTTAGAAGAAGAATGCTTCAAATTGGAGAAAAGAAGCTCAGAAATCCTCCCCCCCCCCCCCCCCCCCCCCCCCCCAAAAAAAAAAAACAGGCAAGGAAAAGTGGAGAGTCTGGAGGAAGAAAACTGGGAGTCAGGATGCCATGCCCTGTTCCCATAATACAATCAATGCAATCACTATTAATCAAATCAAACCTTCTTATTAGTGATTCTGCAGTGCACAACCACACTAGCTAGGTTAAAAAAAAAACTATTGTGGGAACACAATCCTCTTCCTCCTCTCCAGAGTATCAGATGACAGTATTAAACTATCCCATGAACTCTTATACCTGAAAAGTATTGGCAAAGCTTTGTGACATCACATTCTGGTTTGTTCATTGCAACCAATCAGTGCTTAAGGGCTATGTCCTGTGCTGTCAGGCCACAGCAGTGAATTTTGTAAGAAAAAAGCTTATTTTTTCAGTTGTTTTTATTCTCCACTCCCTTTGACCAAGTATGCATGCTGTGGGAGACAGAATCCATCAATTGCATTTGGCCAGGTTCCCTCAAACATGCCAAGCTCTCCCAAGGATGCTGAAACAGCATTTCAATTCTGCCATTTTCTTTGTAGATTAGCAAACACAAAGATTTAAATAACTGTCAAAGGGAAATATCTATCAGGGAATTTGTTTTGTCAGAAAACTCCATGGACCTGGTAAAAATAAAACATGAAACGATTTACACACCCAAACATTCTGACAGCTGTAAACATCATACTGAGAAGCACATAAAAAGGAAATAATCAACCTTCTCTTTTAATCATAGTTATTTCCCCTAGTTATAAGGTAGAACGGGTGAACTATTTGGCTGGAGAATTACACATAGAGTAATTAGGATCAAAGCTGTTTAACACTATTTCCAATAACTGAAATTTGAATTGGACACGTAGGATTTGCCAGAAGACAAGGATGATAACACCTGATCAAAATATAGTTTTAATGCTGGTTTTACCCCTTTGAGCTGACTCACAGATATGAATTTTAGGCAGTCCAATAATAAATGGAGATTTCTTGCCAGTGGAACAAATTCAAAAATAGAAAGAAGTCTGTTTTTGCATGCTGTTACTTTTCATTATCATGTTTACTATATTTGAAGGTAACAACAGACACAGTGGACTGTGTAGGACAACATATTTGTGTGTGTGAGGTTTGAGTTCTTGGTTGTTTTTAAAAATGCAAATATTTTTATAGATGAAGCTGACACAGTGCCTTAATCAGAGAACGTTAATTTTATTTATACTGCCAACTCCTGAAATGCCATAAAATGTGGTCACAGTAGGACTTCCTCTTCCACTATAAATACTTATTGCCACAAAATGCTGCAGGAACAGCAATCAGATCTGACATTTAATTGCCAAACCTAGGCCAGCAGTATTACTACATCAGTCATAATTAACAATGTCCAAATCTTAAAAGGAAGTATCACAGAAAAAAAAAAAAAACCAACCCTTCTAATTATTAAACGTCTGCTTTGGCTATAAGAAACATGATGCTTTGGGAGGCCATTTCTTTGTGATTTTGATAAATGTTTTGCAAATTAGAGTTAAATGATCAGCTGGGTATATTGCTACAATTTTGATGCTGCATTTTCCTAGTAGATAAGTGATTTTAAAAACCCTGCTATTTTACAGAGCATTTCCTTTAGTTAAAGGACCCTTATCCCTCGTGCAAGCAACATTAAAAGTTTTAACTAGAATTTCTGCTTGCCAAATACCTCCAGAGACAAGTATGACTTGTAGAGCAATTTGATTACTATAAAATTTTAGTTTTCCAAAATGGTGCAGTTGGCATTTAAGTACAATGCCAATTTTTTTTTTGCTCTAATGGAATAAATATTCCACATAAAAGACTGGCAAAAATGCAGTATCTAGAATGCATTAGAGGCTTTGAGTGTAAAAAAGACAGGCGTTTTCAAAATAAATTCATTCATTTATGAAAGAGGAGGAAACACTTCAAGAATTGTGGGTCTGGTTTAGATTAGTGCTTTGACAAACAGACTAAAGATGGGCTAGAGACGCGAATCTTTCAAAGCAGCAGACAATTAGGATATGAATCCCTCCCTTCCTGCTCCCAACCCAAAAGCTGGGAGCCATACGGGAAACATATGCTACTAAGACTGTTCCAAAATCTTTCAAAGAATGCTAACATACAGAGTGATACAAAATGGCTGTGAGTGCTTATGTTTCAGCAATAAAAGAGACAATGTTCTAACACTTATGTGAAATAAGCAGACTGATTTTTAAGATTAAAAACAAATATAACACTAAAGGAAGGCAAGAGAAAGGGAAAGCATAAAGTAAGAGAAAAGAATGAGAAGGCAAAGGACTTTATGGAACGACATTAAGTCCCTTCTCAGTAATGCTCTTGATAACTGAGGGAAACATCGGAGTAAAGTTTAAAATAAAATATAATTTATGTAAAACTACAAACATGACCCTCAGATTCCAAACTCTCAATCAACTTTAGAACAATTTCTAAAATTTATGTTTAAACAAAAAGAGAAAAGTACAATATGCAGCACAAAAGCTGTTCTGAGTATGCTAGAGGTCACTTTAGAGAAGGAAAAAAGCCACTAATGACTCTCAGTGTTGGCTCTGAGGTACAGTTTGTGATTATAAAGGACACTCATCCAAATTGACTTATGGAAAACAGAAGGCATGAACAGAAAGCAAATATTTAAGTTAATATATTTATGTACCACTCTAGCCTTCTCCCAAAGTGAGGTTTTAAGATTCATGAGGCATCTGAACTCAAGTCAATCAGCACTGAATTCAACTGCTAATCACGCTAGCTATCCATAGTTAAAACAGATTCAAAGATGATTCCATATTTTGGGAGGGAGAAATCTGGCACTATTGTTTTAAGATAATTTTTATACCTACAGCAAAGGAAGAAAAGTGACACATATTATGTGAGACCCATTTATATTGGATATAAGAGTAGCATAAACAATCTACTAACCATAATAGTTACCATCCTGGTATACAGGTGTAAGTAAATTCTTACCCATAAATTAGCATGTAAAATTCAGCTTATAAATTATATAGAACAATTCTATTTGTAATCATGAAAGAGTAATTTTTAAAAAACAAAATAAATGTGTGGCAAGTTAAAAAAAATGGCCAGGCATGTATTCTTCAAAGTGAAATTAAACAATTACATTACCAGGTAAAGTATAAAGGTTTTTTTAGTTTGTAGAGAAACAGCATAATTAATGGAAGCACTATCCCCACCTGCATACAGGAGAGGGCTGACATATTCATCAGACCAGCAGTGGAATTTAAAAAAAAAAATTACTACCGGTCCTGTGGTCATGGCTTGGTGGGCATGACAGGGGAAGGTTACTGTAAAATCCCCATTCTCTCCCCACTCCAGTAACCTGTTTTCCAGCTCCATTCTCCTGTGCAGGACAACAAAAGAAGACCTAGCTGATCAGCTGGGACTGGGAGGCAGATAATAGATGGGAGTGGGGCCAGTCAGAGGTGGTATTTGCCAGTTCTCTGAACTACTCAAAATTTCCATTACCGGTCTCCAAACTATTCAAAATTTCCACTACCGGTTCTCCAGAACTGGTCAGAACCTGCTGAATACCACCTCTGCATCAGACATGAGACATGTTTGCTTTGCTATTTTCATTAATGTCCCCTTCTACCTACATACCACCTTTTGTGATAATCCATGAGGAACACAGTGTCCTAAAGGAATGTAAACAGTCCGTTGAATGTTCTCAGGATAACATGAAAGGACATGAGGGAGTAAACTTCTATTTAACTAGGAATATTATATTCTGTTACAAGTTCTATAAACTAATTACTATGAATAAAAATATATACAGAGAAGAGAAGTTACCAGATTCACCTAGGTTTGAAAAAGTTCAATAAAGATCTTCAGTGGGAACCAAGATGTAAAATAGAGTCCTAGTGTGCTAATGGATTGAATTTAGTAGTCACATAATGTTATGTGTGTTTTGGAGTGGGGGGAGTGGGACAACTAGAATATAGACCTACAACTATCATTATCCCTAAAATGCAGAGGAAGATTTTGGTTCCTTCTCAATGTTGATGAAAGATTCAACTTTCTAGTCAATTTTTGTATGGAAGAAACTGGAAGAAACTTCATCTAACATCTTGTCTTGTTGGTCTGTTCCTTCATTTTAGGAAATACAGTGTCTGGACTCAGCCTTGGGGAAAAGTACAGCTGTCTGAAATTTTGAAGAGAAACACTCCACTCTATAACATATGTGCAATTCCTCTGGGTTCACCCAATTCTGAAGTTTGCTTTTTCAAGAATATCTCACAAGGTACAGAAATGACAGTGATTTAAAAGAAAGCCCTATATTAATCTGACCTTAAAATTGTTCTTAAAAAGGTAAGGCAATATTAGTCTTGCAAAATAAGAAGCACAAATAGGAGCACTAGATCAATCTTTATTGTAAGTTTATATTGTCAGAAACTTGCAAGCCTGAAAGTACCGCGTTTCTCCAACAATATGGCCTCCACCAATAGGAAGGCCCAGCATGATTTCTAGGCATGAGGTGAAATTAAGC